TCTTATTTAGTTATCTTCTATAACATCATAATTTCATAGCTTTTTCCACAGGATGGTTTTCGATTTATTTTTTTTATTGCGTGACAGTGAAAACGATCTATAAAAATAACGGGTCACCGTGTTCGTTTAGGAACCGTCACGCAATCCGCATTGCACGAGTGGTGCTGATGTTGAAATGATTTCGCCTGTTGAAAAAGCAGTGCAGTCCATGCGCGACAAAGGCGTTGAGGTGATGAAAACTTTTGACTGGAAACCATACACTATAGAATGACATTGCCGATCGCAAAATATTTTGATACCAGGAAATGGAAAGCTGGTCAAATCGTGTCTAAATGGAGGTTACCTACCAAAATTATACTTTGTACGTTTCCATTTTAACACAACAGTAATGTAATTCAGTAAATACAGTATAAGCTTTCAATTTCCCAATGCTTCAGTTTTGGAAGCCTAAAAATTTCCATTCACACTAGTTTCGTAGCCACCACAAATTATTTATAAATAACTTAGTATAATACGACAGTCATCAAAATGACAATTTCAAAACCTGTTTTTTGTTGTAATCACTGAAGGATATCGCCAAAAGTTTGGAGAGAGCTGGTGTAGCCGATGTTCTCGGATGTTGACGTACTTTCGCGAAATTTAAGGCTCTTATTTCATTTTGTAGGAAATAAACCCTCGCGAAATTAAGTAGGAATAGACACGTTTTGGAGATTTACACCGGGCCCCGTATACTGAACGCATGGTTAAATAAACACCAGATTCACAAGGTCGAACCCATAGCCGTTTATTTAAGCTCAGTCGTGAATTTGAACGCGCCCTTATGGAACTGATCGTCGACGATCATTACGTGTACTTTGAAAGGGACAGTCTCACAAGCTACGCATGGGCGACTATCTGCCTCACGCAGTTACTTGCCGCCATTGCGGGCATGGATTCGTCGGTAAGTGTAAATAATTTATACACAAATATTTACAACACTTGTGTGGAGGCGCGGTTGCCTCCGGATCGAGCGGTCCGGTAAAAAATCAACATTGGTTCCAATACTAACACTACTTGCAGTTAAAGGGGACAAAGCAGTGAAGCTTAAATCGGCCTAGAAACCTCACAGGAACCAAGGAAACACACACTTGAAGCAAGGCGCATTTGTCTTTATTCATACTACTTCGTATCTTTTAGGCCCAGGAATATAACCGTTTTTCCATACAAACCCTTATATTTCTACTTTTGCGTAACCTGAGTACTGCTGTATGTAAAGAGACGCTCATTTGCGAGCTTGGGCCACCTGTGAAAGGACTCGCCAGGCGACAGATCTTCAAGCGCGTTGTTCACAGATTTGAACACTACGTGATCGTGCTTCAACCGCTGACATTTAACAAATTGACGTCAGTTTTTTATGCGTGTGTCCTCTTATTGATGATAAATTGCGTCCTAACATTGTCAAAGCGGCTGTGGAACCACGAGCCGCAGGCGAGTGGTTCTGACTGATGACAAACTTTCCACGAGTCTTTCAGCCAATACCATCATGGCTAAACTGACCAATCACGTTTAACGGACCAGACTTATTACATCATCGACTGACAAACATTATTCACTTGACTCTGAAGATGACTTCCGTTCAGTTTCCAACAACAGTACTTTTCAGAACTACCCTCACCCGGACGATCACACTATACGAACTACTGATACTCCTGGGTTCAAACTATTTACTATGTTACAACAGAAATAACAGCCGCGTGGTGTTCAACCATGACACCCTTTATACGTGTTACGTCAGACTGGCAAATTATTCCTTCCCCCACCAAGCCTCGCTTTCAACGTGCACATCTGTAAGTTTAATAATCTAGTTGTAGCTCAAGGTCCTCAAGCGTTATTTGACCCGTTAACTATAAGATATTACTTTTGACTTTAAATTGTATTTATGGCCTTGCACCAACTTATCTTAGTGATCTCATTAGTATAAAATCGAATTTATCATGTAATCTTAGGTCTACTGGGAAGCTCTTATTGCACCATCCCAAGGGAAAGATGCTTCCAACATTGGAGGCCAGATCATTTTCAGCAGCAGCTACGAAACTCGGGAATGGCCTACCTGTGGAGCTTTGTTAAGCAACATCACTTGACAGTGTTAAATCTCGACTTGAGACTTATCTTTTTGAAAAGTATTTTTATAATTTATAAATTTATTTTATTTTTATGGTGATTGTAAAGCGCTATTGATCAGAATATGTAAATATGTGCTATATAAATTGGTAAATTATTGTTATTTTTATTATTATTATTATTATTATTATTATTATACTACATTAAAAGGAGACTGTTACATTAGAGTCGTTAAAATATTGAAACTGATTTACTTCCTATTCTACTTACATGAAGGTTTGTATTGCATTTTAATTTTTTAGCATGTGAATTTAACCCTAAAAGACACCCTGACAGCTAAGAAGTCTAAAAGATTTGGAGTTTCGTCCTGCACACCCTAAGTAAAACCAAAATTAGTGATTTGCAAC